CATACTCATGAAATGTACTATCAATTCAATACTGTTATCTAATCTCTAGTCCATAATCTGATTTCCCTTATTGGCATAATAAGAACCCCCTCCCCCAGTATCCAAGCGTCCATGCTTCTTTTTAACCATTTTGTTATACTGCCTTGTATTTCTAAGAAATTTAATGCTCACTGAGAGCAAAGAGTATTCTAGCCCTGATAATAGAAGAACTGCAAAATGATAAAGGTCTTGGACAGAAGACTACTCATTATTACGTCTTGGGCTGGATGAGGGTAATGTTTTTGTTTTCTGTATCCTTTGGTTAGAGTTTTTTGTTGTATGATTTTTTTTTAAACTCAACCTGCTTAACCCTTCTTAATCCTTAGTTTTCAAAATTTTGGCTTATTCATGTCTTGGGTCATCATGAGGTCCTTAGTAGTTAAACATTCTCTTCTTTATTGTGGAGGAACTGAAAACCTAATATTATAAAATTACTTCTGAATTTTATCATTCATTTGTTTTTTGCTATTTTAGTTGGCTCTTCGAAATGAGGAGGCAGAAAATGAAAACAGCAAATTAAGAAGAGAGGTTCGTAAAAAATTTTAGTAGTTGTGATGGTTCAACAGAGATGATTGTTTAAAGAGTTTTCATAAGTTTATACTGTAGCCAAAACTGGAGTCGTCTAAATAATTGATGTTTTCAAACTGTCTGATTTTATGATACAACTTTGTCTTAGGGAAATAGAAGGTAAATTGAAAGGTGAAGACATTAAATAATACATTCATCTTTTAGGTCTGTGTGGGTAGCTCTTTGTTTTATAAGCTGTTCTTTGCTAGTTTGCTGTCTAAATATATGACTGGATTTCTACCTTATTTCTCATATTTTATCTAGCGTTCTTTTAAAACTTTTGTTTCTCATGAAATCTTACAAGTTTCAATTATTATTTGGTTCTTTTAAGCCAAATAATGTTTGTACATTGTTTATCCTGATAGGAGTTCTTGCCTTTTCAGTATAATCAACTTTTTTTTGGTTTTGGTTGGTACTTAATATTCTTGCTTTCTTTGGTTATCCTTATTCTCCTAAATTTTCTTTTTGCTGTTTTCTTTAATTTCTAATTATTATTTTTAACTCTGTATTGCCTTTCTCATTTGTAATTACCTTTTTCCTGTCCTTTTCTGGAGAACAAACGTCTAAAGAAAAAGGTGAGGCTTTAAGGGTGGTGAAACCTTGGGCATTTAGAGATATGTTTTGAGATCACTGTTTAGAGGGTGCAATTCTGTTTCTTTGGATAGTTTTTTTAATAGAATATTGTGTTTGATCTACCTTCAGAATGAACAGCTTCGTCAGGATATTATTGACTATCAGAAACAAATAGATTCACAAAAAGAAACACTTTTATCAAGAAGAGGAGAAGACAGTGACTATCGATCACAACTGTCTAAAAAAAACTATGAGCTTGTCCAATATCTGGATGAAATTCAGGTAAAATGGATAGAAGTCAGTTCAAAGCAATATGTTTTTTGTTGTTGTTGTTTTTGTTTTTTTTAATGGAGGTACTAGGGATTGAACGCAGGACCTTGTGCATGCTAAGCATGCTCTCTACCACTGAGCTATACTAACCCTCCCCTCAAAACAATGATTTTTTTTATAAAACTTTAATTTCATTTTAATGTAATTCTAGCATTTAGCTCTACATTTAAATTCTTTAAATCTGTAACTATGGGATTGTAAAAGGTGAAATAAGTTGCGTCTTTGAAGTTGCAAATCTTACAAATTTGTTTCTGTTACATTCCTATCTTGGGCATTGTTTAAGAACTAAGATCCTTAGTTCCAGTTTTCTTGATATTTAATTTGATTTAATTGGCCAACAACAGTTGATACTAAATATCTATAAAGAATTCTGTTTTCTCCAACAGACACTTACGACTCTATTTAATTTTACTTTAATTTAAATTTTAGTTTCTTAAATTTTTTTTAACTACAGTGTCTTTACCTTCTTAGACTTTAACAGAAGCTAATGAGAAAATTGAACTTCAGAATCAAGAAATGAGAAAAAATCTAGAGGAATCTGTACAGGAAATGGAGAAGATGACTGATGAATATAATAGGATGAAAGCTATTGTGCATCAGACAGATAGTATAATGGACCAATTAAAAAAAGAAAATGATCATTATCGGCTTCAGGTAAAAATTCTTGTTAGACTAACTGATTTGGGCAGATGTCATATTGCCTCATTATTATTTACTGGAAAGTAGGAGGTACTTTAACTTTCTAGGATATAAGTTTTTATCTTATGCTCCAATATGTCATCTTATACTGTAACATGTTGCCATGCTGATATGTTTGTCCATATTTATTTCTCTAGTCTCCTTTGGTATACCTTGTAACTCTTGCCATGCAGGGTACATGGGTGATAACCTGAATGAATGTGTAGATAGCAGTCCGGCAAAGCTAATAATTATGGGAATTTTCTACTAACGACTCTTCAAAGTCCTGTGGACCATAAAGTTTAATTTTACACCTTAAGATAAATACACTCTAAGTATCATCAAAACCAATACATTGTTCACTATTTACATGAATTAACTCGTTTAAAAAAATAGAGTAGTGCTTAAAAACATAATTTTCTACTAATAGAAATAGACAACTGTAAAGATGCACAAACCATTAAATGTCACCTCTAATTACAGAACTGCTCCTGTATTCATTTGTATATGTATACATGTGGATGCATGTGCTTATCATGTGTGTAATGTACATGTAAATATTCTTACATAATAAATATGTATATATTGCACTGATTTGCAATAATTCTTGAAATTGTTGCTTTTCAGGTGCAGGAGCTTACAGATCTTCTGAAAGCAAAAAATGAAGAAGATGATCCAGTTATGGCAGCTGTCAATGCAAAAGTAGAAGAATGGAAGGTGCTTTTTTCAATTGCTATAATAGTTTTTTCATTTTTATTTTAGATTTCAATGTTTTAGTCTATTTTTTAAAAGGCCTATACTAGTTAATGACCTTTTCATTAGGCATTTTTAAAAGTGTACTAAATGTCTTAGCTAGAAAAGCTCTAAGAACTGTCTTCTGGCTTATTTGTTGTTGAATAGATTCTTCTACATCAATGAGTTAAACTTTAATCTAAATTTTATGGTAGAAATTATAAGTACAAAATATAATATAGTTGTCATCTAAAAGAGATCATTGTAAATAACAGCTAAATATTTTCACATAAATCATTCTTACATTGTATATATTTGTTATATGGTTCTAGGTTTAATTTTAGTTTTTCTGACTCTCCTTCTATGTTATGCCAATCAAGCTATTGGCATTGGGTGGGAATGGGAGTAAGGAAATGGACTGGGAATCAAAGTAAGGAAAGGGGTCTTTTATAATCACCTGAGAAGACTTTTCAAAAGTCTATTCCTCCCCACCACTCTGTAACTCCAACCAAATCTCTTAGCCTTACTTATCATATTAGAAGTTAAGATTGTAACGATTGTGTATTTTTAAAAAAAATCTGAAATGATTCTAAATAAATAATTCTAATTTAAAAAGTTATCCCTTTCATAGTCATTGTTTCTAATAGTGTTCACATAAATCTTGTTGCCTATTTGGAATTATGTGGGAGGCTAAGATAACCTTTATTTTAAACAAAAGCAGTAGCAATGGAAATAAGGTTTATAGAATCAGCCAGAGGTCAGTAAACCTTTTGTGAAAGGCCAGGGAGTCAGTATTTTGGACCATTTAGTTTTTGATATAATAACATGAAAGCAGCTGTGTAATACACAAATAAATGAGCAAGGCTGTTTTCCAATAAAACTTTACAGAAGCAGGCAGCAGGTCAAATTGAGCAATAGTTTACCAACCCCAGGAAGAAAAGAGTTGTTTTTAACTGTTTAATTTTGTGGGGAGAGTTGTTAGTGTAGGTATTCTTCTGCACTTTGTTTTTCCTTCGTATTTTTAACGATTGGCTTATATCAGTACATATAGTATTGCTTTGCTCTTTTTTAATGACTAATTTTTCTTTGTAACTATATATGTTATTTACTTAATGGATTCCCTGTTGTGTGCCATTTAGGAAGTTTCTGATTTTCTTGTTAGCTACAAGATTTAATGAATATCCTTGTATGTTATTTTGAAAATGTATATCTGTAGAATAAATGCTACAAACGTAATTCTGATATAAATTGCAAATATATCCCTCCAGTGCATCACTTCTCTTTTGGCTTTATGGTATTTTTTGCTATGAAGTATTTCTTTTTATATTGTGTACATTTTTTTAATGGCTTTTGGCCTTTGCATCATAATTAGAAAAGATTCTGAATATAAAGTTGTTCTCATATTTTCTTCTAGTATTTTCTAATTTCATATTTTACCTTTAAATTTAGCATATATTATTTATTTTGATATGAAGGGTGACAGAGGGACGCAACAGAGCTACTCTGTTGTCCAAGCATCGTTTATTGAATACTTCATCTTTCTTCTACTGAAATACGGTTCCATTTTTATTATATACAAAACTCAAAACTGTTGAATTTGAATTTATTTCTGGTCTCTCTTCTTTTTTATTGATTGATCTGTTTTCTTACCATATACAGTTGTTTTAATTATTATGTTTAAAAATTTGAAAAAGCTGTTCTCATTATTTTTCTGTTTTTTAGACTCTTACAAAAGTGCTTTTTTAATACAAATTTTAGAAATAATTCTTTAAAGTATTATAGTTATTTTATTGGATATATATATGTTAAATATATAAATTAATTTATAGATTGATTTTGCTATTTCATCCTAGCAAAGAATACAAGATACCTTTCATTTGTTTAAACTAAGGTGTTTATGACATAACATTAATTTCAGGTATGCAATGTAATGATTTGATATTTGTAGACATTGCAAAATGATTACCACAGTAAGTCTGGTTAACATCCATACTCATACATATTTACAGTTTTTTTCCTTTGGTGGTGAGAACTTTGAAGATCCATTCTCTTAGCTATTTTCAAATACGCAATACGGTATTAAAAAGTGATGGTTAGATACCATGAAGTAGATAGCAGTACCTTAACTGCATGCATGTTGTCAGGCCTGAAGGCCTGTTGCATTCCTGCTAAGGAGAGTGCTAACCTTCTCTTTTCTGATAATACAAGAAGATGCATTTCATTCATTCAAGATATTTTATGATTCTTAGTGTCATTTTAATGTTTTCTTCCTAAAGAGTAGTTGTACAAAGCTTTTTGTAGCTGTAGGGAGACATTAATAACTTCTTGTTTTAGGAGTGGGTTTTAGAAACTTGAGATTGTTTAAAAGATTGAATTCCTTAGAAAGTGAAAAATACAGTGTATATTTTTTAATCATTTCCTATTTGAACTTCAGGTTGTATGCACCAAAGGAACAATGGTCATTCCAATACTTTCTGATATTTTCTCACTTCAAAGAATTTTATTTCCTGTATTTTCTTGAAATCTGCTAATATTTCATATTAGAGTACTTACTGTAAATGAAATTGCTTTATTAATTTTCCTCTTATGTAACATCCTATTTTGTTTATTTCTAGTTAATTTTGTCTTCTAAGGATGATGAAATTATTGAGTATCAGCAAATGTTACATAACCTGCGGGAGAAACTGAAAAATGCCCAGCTTGATGCTGATAAAAGTAATGTTATGGCTCTACAACAGGTAAAACTTTCTCAAAATTTGGCTTATTAACCAGTTTTATTAAAGTTGGCAATGAAGCTCTGAACTGTGTCTTAGTTATATATTATCGCCTATGTCTAATCTAGTCACTTGCACTATTGGATATATAATAAAGTATTTTGAAGTTTTTTACACCATCCATTTCCAAGAAAAAATTAGAATTAAGGTGAAAGTTATTTTTCTATGCTGTTGCAGATAATACATTTATTGTTTTATATGGGAATTATTTAGTAAGAAAGTATTAAAAACTTCCAGAAATTCAAAAATATCTTAATACTCCTATGAAAAAGTTTATAATATTGTATTTTAGTGCTAAAATATCCTGTGCAATGTGAAATAAGCTAAGAGTACGGCTATAATTTATACTACATAAAAATTTTATTTTTAGTATAAATATATTAATATAGAAGTTACACTTGTATCATCTGTACTCTCTAGTCATGGTCCAAAAGAAAGAAGGAAATCTGGAAAGTTTTTGGAGACTAAGGACAATTGCAAGGGACAAAATTGCAAGGGACAGAATTACTGTAGGGGTGAAAGCTAAGTTGAATAAGAGAAAAAGCAGACATATGAAATGATAAAAGGAATTGGAGGCATGATGATGAAGAGTAACCCAAAAGGACTCATAAGAACACACAAATATTAGAGAGTTCTAGAACTCCT